ATCTTGTGCCGTCTTCGGGCCTTTGGTGCCGTCGTGAAGGGTTTAATATGGGAGAGGAAGAGAGGGGAGGAAAAAAGGGAGGAAAACGAGAAGGAGGAGGATGAGGAGGATGAGGAGGAGGATGATGATGATGCGGAGGAGGCGGAGGAATTGGAGGAGAACGAGAAGGAAAAGTAGGATGATGATGAGGAGGAGGAGACCGCGTGCCTGAATGATTCGAGCACGCAGTTTCCTCCTTCGGGGGGTCGGGTGGTGGTGGCGGCTGAAACGCTGCTGAGAATGCCTGGCGCCACGCGTGATGAACTCCAAGCTGCAGTCTTGTTCCCCATATCCTAAGATGTGGTTCTTGTTGTTATTTGGACGCCTCCTCCTCCTCCTCCTCCTTCTCCTCCCCTCTCCTCCTCATACCCAGACTTACTCATACACAGACTGACTCACACACAGACTTACTCATACCCAGACTTACTCACTCACAAAATTACTCATACTCAGACCTACTCATACTCAGACCCACTTCTACTCAGACTTACTCATGCTGAGACTCACGCACGCCCCGTTCGCGGCCGTTTTGTGGGGATGCCTCAAGCGGTTTGCTTGTTTTCTGTCCCAACATTCTTGGCTACCAGAGCAGATTGTGAGGATGTTTCAGGCGGGGCGCTGGTTTCACCTCCGCCTGAGGGGAGCCGCCAGGGGTTATTTCACGGTCCCGTTCGCGGCCGTTTTGTGGGGATGTCTCAAGCGATCTGCTTGTTTTCTGCCCCAACATCCTTGGCTACCAGAGCATATTGTGAGGATGTCTCAGGCGGGGCGCTGGTTTCAGCACCCCTAAGGGGAGCCGCCAGGGGTATATTTCACGGTCCCGCTCGCGGGCGTTTTGTGAGGATGTCTCAAGCGATCTGCTTGTTTTCTGCCCCAACATTCTTCGCTTGGAGAGCAGATTGTGAGGATGTCTCAGGCGGGGCGCTGGTTTCAGCACCCCTAAGGGGAGCCGCCGAGGGGTGTGACACGGTCCCGTTCGCGGGCGTTTTGGTGGGGATGTCTCAAGCGGTTTGCTTGTTTTCTGCCCCAACATCCTTCGCAGATTGTGAGGATGTCTCTGGCGGGGCGCTGGTTTCAGCACCCCTAAGGGGAGCCGCCGCGGGGTATGACACGGTCCCGTTCGCGGGCGTTTTGTGGGGATGTCTCAAACGATCTGCTTGTTTTCTGCCCCAACATCCTTCGCTTGGAAAGCATATTGTGAGGATGTCTCTGGCGGGGCGCTGGTTTCAGCTCCCCTAAGGGGAGCCTCCAGGGGTATATTTCACGGTCCCGCTCGCGGGCGTTTTGTGGGGATGTCTCAAGCGAGCTGCTTGTTTTCTGCCCCAACATCCTTCGCTTGGAGAACATATTGTGAGGATGTCTCAGGCGGGGCGCTGGTTGCAGCACCCCTAAGGGGAACCGCCAATGGGTATGACACGGTCCCGTTCGCGGGCGTTTTGTTGGGGATGTCTCAAGCGGTTTGCTTGTTTTCTGCTCCAACATCGCAGATTGTGAGGATGTCTCAGGCGGGGCGCTGGTTTCAGCACCCCTAAGGGGAGCCGCCGCGGGGTATGACACGGTCCCGTTCGCGGGCGTTTTGTGGGGATGTCTCAAGCGGTTTGCCTGTTTTCTGTCCCAACATCCTTCGCTTGGAGAGCAGATTGTGAGGATGTCTCAGGCGGGGCGCTGAAAGTGTCCCAAGTCTCCCAAGTCTGTCATGTTTCCTAAGGCGCCCAAGCCTCCCAAGCTTCCCAAGCTTCCCAAGTCTCCCAAGTGTCCCATGTCTTCCATGCCCCCACCCCAAGTCTCTAAGATCCCCCAAGTCCCGCAAGTCTCCTACGTCTTCCATGTCTCCCAGCAGGAATACCGTCTCCCAAGTCTCCCACGTTCCCCGAGTCTCCCAAATCACCCAAACCTCCCACGTCATCGCTGTAACCTATGAGGAGGAGGAACGAAGAGGATGGGCGCAGATTCAGTCGTATTCAAACCTCACGTTCACTCATACTCACGCACATCGGTGTTTAACCGTCTTCGTCGGACCTGTCGACCACGTGGACGCGCTCTTATAGTCAGGCATTCATAGAGAAACGTTCACTATGGCATATCATAAAACATGAGATGCACATATGGGGAGCTCCACGCAGTGAGTAATTTTCAGGCCTCGGAGGTTCCCTGATTCCGTGGTAGGCCCGCACGAACTGCAGATACAGGTGATCCCGAGTGGGTAGTTTTTCACCTTTGCAGGACGTGCTTCCGAGGGCTCTGGACTAGTTGGGTGAAAGCCGCGTTACGGCCTCTGCATGGGCTGCTGGTCGGTGCCCTTATTGGAGCCCCTGGCGAAAGTATGACAAACGCGGCGTGCCCACCTGCAGTGCTTCCATGCCCACCCGTGCTCTCGGATTGGGCCGCGCGGCTGGCGATCTGGCGCAGCTGTGAGGGCAGAGCGGGGGGGGGAGAGAAGGGGCGGAGGGGGTGTCTGGCAGCGCTGGACGCGTGGCGCCATGCCCCGTGATGAAACCTTCTTCCCTGAGCGATTCGCTGAACATCGAGCGAATGGCTTTGGGATGGAGCCAGCTTCGGGGAAAGGAGAAGCGTCTGCGCGGCCTGCTTCTTCGGCCCAGCTTGAGGGTGTCTGCTTCTTCGGCCCAGCTTGCCTGCTCGGCCTCGGACGGCGGAGGAGTAGGGACAGAGCGCCCGTTTCCGCGACAGCTGTCCGCCCAATCGTTTCCGACGGCTCTGCGCACGTCAGGCGCGAGCTGGGGAAGCAGTGCCGGGTCGACATGCTCTGCGACTGTGGCAATGCGATACACCGGCGTCCCAGGTGGAGGAGCCGCGGATCTGAGCGTTCAGGCCAGCGTAGTCATGTTGTCGTGCGGCCACGCTGTGCCAGGGCGCCCTCCCAGACATCGCAACAAGGTCTGAGCAATGCGAGCATCTAAGAGATACATGGGGGCAACGCTCCATGACGGCCAGAACTGCGATGTTCTCGGCTTCGGGTGAAGTTCGGGGACAATCCGACCCCGCGGCGCCCCAAAGATCAGCAACCAGTTCTCCGGCAGGCGTCAATTTGACAGCTGACCACCCCGCCGCGCGATACGTGCACGGACCGTCCTTGAAACATGAACCGTCGGTAAAAACGTCAGCCGTCAAGGCTTGCACTATGGGTAGTGCTGTGTCGGCGAACCACAACTGGAAAGGGCTCGTTCCCGACCCCTGCGGCAGCATCGCTGTTGGGCTAGGAAGTTCCACGAGTTCGCATACCAGCGGGGAATTGCGGTAGCGGTCCGAAAGCAAAGTCCTGTCCGTCTCAGTGGGCAGTTGTTGCCTCAGAGTGGCGGTGCAGGGAGAGTGATGTAGCTTGTGGGCGATGCAATCGAAAGGGACTCAGCAGATGCATGTCGTTTGCACCTGATATCCTGCTCTCCTCAGTTGGTCACAAGTCCACAAAATTCGGATGCAACTCCTGGGAGGTCAAATTCTGATTTTGCCCTGGTCCGAAATCCGGCTTAATCCGGTTTAATCCCGCCTAATCCGGCTTTTTCCGGCTTACTCCGGCTTAATCCCGCTTAATCCGCGGTCTAATTTTGCGTAGTAGCCCCCCCAAATGGGGTTTGATTCTCTTTCATCCTTCCGACGAAGACCTCCCAGTAGTTGCCTTCTAATACAAAGAAGTGCCACAACAACGAAAGTAACATGTTGTGCTCGTGGCGCGGCAAGCTGTGCTCACGCATCAGGCGCCCGGCCGCGCTGAAATCCAGCAGGGTGCTGGCTGGGAGCCCCATCTTGGCGGCGACGTTGCCGAGTTGACGTTTGTGCCATTCATCGCGGAATGTTGTCTCGATTTCTTTAGAGAGAAGATCTTGGGTGGCCATCTTCCACCTGCGGCGTCGATCAAAATCAACGGTGTGGCAATAGTCCAGCCTATGCATGCGGGTCAGCGGTACGATGGCCGCCGCAAAGGGCCCCCGCACGTCAGCCCATGAAGAAGGGGGTCTGTCAAGAATGGGCCGAGCGAGCGATAGCAGCGCAGGCAGCGGGTGAGGGTTATGAGCGGGATGATCCAAGCTAGACTTCCCAGGAGTTTTGGCCCCAAGGAGAGCAGGAGCGAGTCCTTGTCTCCACGTTGGGTCTTCGTGAAGAGCTAGCGCGACGGACCTCGAACGAGACTCTCCTCTGGCGCCGGCCAGCCCGAGGAATAATATTATGTATCCTAGCTCCTTCGGGTCGAGGGCGGTGACCCCAGCGCCGTACATGCCAAATTGGTCCAGACCAGTGGTGAAGAGTTTAACAGTAACAGTGCCTGGTGCCTTGAGGGTGAACAGACGGCGCCTCCCGGCTTTGAGTCTGCTCGCCCGTTCCTTTAGCCAGGGCCTCCTTGCCCGGAGCGTGCGCAAATGGCCGATGGCTGGCAAATGGGATGGGAAGGGGGAAGGGGAGGGGGAGGGGGACGGGGAGGGGGAGGGGGAGGAGGAGGAGGAGGAGGGGAGGAGGAGGGAGGGAGGAGGAGAAGGAGGAGGAGCAGGAGGAGGATGAGGATGAGGAGGGGGAGGATGAGGGGGAGGAGGGGGAGGGGAGGAAGGAGGAGGAGGAGGAGGAGGAGGAGGAGGAGGAGGAGGGAGGAGGAGGAGGAGGAGGAGGAGGAGGAGAGGAGGAGGAGGAGAGGAGAGGAGGAGGAGGAGGAGGAGGAGGAGGAGGAGGAGGGAGGAGGAGGAGGAGGAGGAGGAGGAGGAGGAAGGAGGAGGAGGAGGAGAGGAGAGGGGGAGGGGAGGAGGAGGAGGAGGGGAGGAGGGAGGGGGAGGGGAGGAGGAGGGGGAGAGGAGGAGGAGGAGGAGAGAGGAGGAGGAGGAGGAGGAGGAGGAGGAGGAGGAGAGGAGGAGGAGGAGGAGGAGGAGGAGGAGGCATTATTCAGGGCAGCGGCCTCGGCATATCGGCGCTGGCAGCGGCGGACGTGACCTCTCGGCGGCCGCCGGCTAGCTCCGGAGGACGGCCTCGCCTGCGACCGGTGCCACCTCTGCGACTGGAAGCGGAAGCCCGCCGTGCTGCCCCCGCCCCGCCCCATGGCCCAGCGGAAGGGCGGGACCAGGCGCGTCGCCCGCCGCCGGGCCCCGCGCCCGCCTTCTCTCGGGGCAGCCTCGTGGCCCGGCCACATGACGTGCAGCGTCGCGGAGAGCCACGGCGTTTTTTTTGTCCAACCATCCCGTGGTCACGTGCCCACTTTTTTGGATGAGACAGCGTGCCGCGTTTCTTCTTCTCCTCTCCTCCTCTCCTCATCTGCTCCAGTTCCTCGTCCTCCTGCCTCTTCTCTCCTAAGCACCATGTCGGCACACCTTTCACACGCTTCGTGGCCCCATAGGCTAATGCCCCAGTGGCTGGACTCGCATGCGGCTCCCTGCCCCTCCGTACGACCATTTCGGCGCTTCCCTCACACGTTTCGTGACCCCACAGGGAGCTCCACCTAATGCCCCAGTGGCTGGACTCGCATGCGACTCCCCGCTTATTTCAGCGCACCCCCCTCGCACGTTTCGTGGTCCTATAGTGAGCCCCACCGAAGACGATCCTCATAATTGTGGTACCCACAGCCGCATATGGTTGGGCCCTTCGCCAGGATTTTTGTTAATGTTTTTTGTTCCGTCTCTCTCTCTCGCTCGCTCTCTCTCTCTCTCTCTTGTTTTATTCCTCACTCTCGATCACTCTCTCTCTCTCTCTCTTCCTCTCCGTCAACCCTCCTCCCTCCTCACAGGTCACCTCTTTCTCTTCCCGTTTCCTCCCTCTGCTTCCTTTCCCTCTCCTTTGTCTCCCTCCTCTTCCTCTCCATCCCTCTCCTTCCTCTTTCTGGCTTCCTGCTTCCCTCTCTTTCTCCGTGCTCTCCTGGGCCTGTCTTCCGGCCACATCCCCCCGTGCCCGTCCACGTCCTTGTCCCGTCTGGATTGATAATGCCGCTGTATGCTTTTTGGGCATGTAATGTGTTAAACGTCAGGTGTGTTCACTGATAGTTTTTTGTTTCTCCACACAGCCCATGTGTAGATGACCAGTCGGTAACAATGCGAGGTCAATGTACGTGCTATCCTTTCTACGCAAGTTTATGCTAAGGCAATACCATAACCGCATGTGCGCTTAATGGTGCGCATGCGTGCTCAAGGATGAGCAACGTGTGGTGATTTGGTGTCACATGCGCTCCAGTATGTTCACGAGACTTAGGGCGCCCTTCTTCCCTGTAAGGGTGTTGGCGGGCCTTTGGCCTTATATCCGAAAGAGGTTGAGCAGCAGGCGTCGGAACTCGACACGTACAGATACGTATTCGGAGGGGGGCGGTCCAACTTCTGGTAGTCGGATTCTTCGCATGAAAAAATACGTGTCGAACAGCAGGCGTCGAAATGTGTCATGTAAAGTCCATGTGCGGAGGGGTGGGTCTCCAACATGTGTCTCGGCGTGCATGCGTTTTGCACGTGTTTTCACGAGTTTCTCGCCACAACGGGCCCCCCAGGGGGAGCCCACCTTCTGGTCGTTGAATTCTTCACACATCATGTGTGTCGAGCAGCAGGCGTCAGAATTTGACACGTGAAACCACGCGTGCGGAGGGGGGAGGTCTCCAACATGCGTCTTCGCGTGCATGCGCTCGGCACATGTTTTCACGCGTTTCTCGCCACAAGGTGTCCCAGGGGGGACCCAACTTCTGGTCGTCGGATTCGTCACGCGCAAATGCGCGTGTCGAACAACAGGCGTCGGTCATTGACATGTGAAAATACGTGAGCGGAGCGGGGAGGTCTCCAACACGTGCGCGGCGTGCATGTTTTCGCTACGTGCTTCCACGTGGTTCTCGTCACAACGGACTTCCCAGGGGGGACACAACTTCTGGTAGTCGGATTCTTCGCTTGTTGCGAATACCTGTCGAACAGCAGGCGTCGAAATTCGTCACGTTATGTATATGTGCGGATGGGTGGGTCTCCAACATGCGTCTCGGCGTGCATGCGGTTGGCGCGTATTTTCACGTGTGTCTTGCTGCAAAACGGGCCTCCAGGGGGGACCCATTTTCAGGACGTCGGTTTCTTTGCACGTGGAGATGCGTGCGCGGAGGGCTGGGAGGACCCAACATGCGCCTGGCGTGTGCGTGCGGGGACGTGCTCTCACGTGTCCGCGGTCCCCAGGAGGGGATCACATTTCTAATCGTCGGATTATCTGCGCGCAAAATTGCGTGCGCGGAGGGGCCAAAATCATTGAAGCTGGGTGCCATTCTCCTGCTTTGGAAACGCATGGGAGGCCAGCGCAGCAAGAATGCTTACCGAGGGATCGCGCTGCCACTGGGCGGAATCAAACTGCTCGCACGAGTGGTGGCGGCGCGGTTGGGCGGGTTGGCGGAGGGCTTCATCGACGGCGCCCAGTGCGGCTTTCGCCGGTGTCGTGGCGTGAGCGACGTGCTGGTTGCAGAGATTGCAGAGATTTGTCGGGGGCGGGCAAGGGAGGACGCCCCGTGGTGCCGCTTCAACTCTTAGCCGACATGGAAATAGCGTGCCGCAGCGTGTGTAAAGATGGCCTGTGGGAGTTACTGTGATGTAGGAGGCGCGGCGAGAAGATGATAGTAGTGTGCCAGGTTCTGCGTGGGGGCGCGGAATGCGCCGTTAGGATCGAAGGAGGTCTGTTCCGCTTTTGGCTGCCTGCCCGAGGCCTCCACGAGTGTTGTCTTTCGTCGCCGCTCTTCTTTGATGTTTTCCGCGACGGGATTCTGGGGGATTTTTTCGCTAGGTTGGAGGCCGCCGCGGCCGCCGCTGGAAATTCCGCGTGAACGAGGACCAGGTGTAATTGCCCCAGACGGGCTCATGGACGTGGGCAGACCAACTCTGGGAAATTTGGAAGAACATCGAAAGGCAGGGGCGACGATATTTCGGCAGGTATCTAACAGTCGCGGAGCGGTCCACGATCGCGTGTGACAGGAGGTAGCGAACGCGCTGAGGCCTGTGACATGGTTTTGACACGCGCCTAGTGATGTGGAGTTCGACTGGTGCGCAGGGCGGATGCGGCTAGGGCAGAGAGCAGGAGTGGACGGGTTTCCCGCAGAGGCCCTCCTACTCTGCGGCCGTCGCTACGGACGTGCGGTGTTTCGCGTGGTTCGAAAGCTGTGGCGCCGGGGTGTCAGCGCGGCAGCCGTCGGGCGAGGGCAAGGAGTGCGCCGGGTCCAGTGGTGCCCTTGTGAAAGGGCAGGGGCAGCCGCAGCGATAATCACGCACGCAGGAGTGTCGAGCTCCTGAGAGCAAGCTCCGGACTCCTCGCGAGTGCCGCGGCCGCGCGTTGCTGGGCTGGCGGGCTGAGGGTTTCCTGGATCGGCCGCGCTGTTGGTTTCGAGGCGGCGGGTCGTCGGCGACGCTCGGCAGGCGAGCCGCGGGTCCGCGGAGGAGATCTGCCGCGACGTTCGGGGATGACGGCGAATCATATCGGAGCATCGGCTCCTTTGACGTGGAGGATGTGTGTCCACGAGTGTGCAAGGGCGGGTGTTGGGCGCCGCTCCGGATGCGAGGATGTGGCGAGCGGATGATGACGGTCTTTCAGGCCCCGCGCGAGGGCGCGGAGTTTGCCGCGCAGGCAGAAGGTGGCCAGTCGCTGCCGTGGCTACCGGGCAGGGCCCTGCGCGAAGGCGCGCGTGTGCAGTTCAGCCCCGCAGTGCTTGCGCGTTGCCGCGAGGGCGGTGAATGGGGTGGGCTCGCATCCTCTCTCCTGTCCCCCCCCCCTCTCTCCTGTCCCCCCCCCCCCCTCTCTCCTTTCCCCTCCCCTCCCTCCCCCCTCTCTCCTGCCCAGGGCGCAGTGCAGGGGGGTGGGGGGGAGCTGGGGGAAAGAGAAGGTGCAGAGGCGGGGGGGGTGCAGGAAGAGAAGGGGGGGGGGGCGGAGAGGAGATTGCAGGGGAAGGGGGGGGGTGCAGGAAGAGAGGGGGTGGGGCGCCGGAGAGGAAGGTGCAGGGGGGGCGGTCCCGGCATTGGGGATGCCTTGCGTCTCAATTCTTTCGTCGTTTGCGTCCCTCTCCCCCTGCAGAGCGAAGCTTGAGCGAGCTCAAGCCCACGCTCTCAGAAACTCACACGCCAGATTGGCGGATATATATATATATATATATATACATATGTATGTATGTATGTATGTATGTCTGTCTGTCTGCCTGTCCGTCTGTCTGTCTGTCTGTATGTATGTGTGTGTGTATGTATGTATGTATGTATGTATGTATGTATGTATGTATGTATGTAGGTATGTATGTATGTATGTATGTATGTATGTATGTATGTATGTGTGTGTGTCTGTATGTATGTATGTATGCATGTATGCATGTATGTATGTATGTATGTATGTCTGTATGTGTATGTATATATGTATGTATGTATGTATGTATGTATGTACGTACGTACGTACGTACGTATGTATGTATGTATGTATGTATGTATGTATGCATGTATGTAATGCATGTATGTAATGCATGTATGTGTGTATGTATGTATGTATGTATGTATGTATGTATGTATGTATGTATGTATCTATGTCTGTATGTATGAAACATATGTATGTATGTATGTACGTACGTATGTATGTATGCATGCATGCATGCATGCATGCATGTATGCATGTATGTATGTATGTATGTATGTATGTATGTATGTATGTGTGTACCTATGTATGTATGTATGTATGTATGTATGTATGTAGGTAGGCAGGTAGGTATGTATGTATGTATGTATGTATGTATGTGTGTGTGTCTGTATGTATGTATGTATGTATGCATGTATGCATGTATGTATGTATGTCTGTGTGTGTATGTATATATGTATGTATATGTATGTATGTATGTATGTATGTATGTATGTACGTACGTACGTACGTACGTACGTATGTATGTATGTATGTATGCATGTATGTATGTATGTATGTATGTAATGCATGTATGTAATGCATGTATGTATGTATGTATGTATGCATGTATGTATGCATCTATGTATGTATGTATGTATGAAATGTATGTATGTATGTATGTATGCATGCATGCATGCATGCATGCATGCATGCATGTATGTATGTATGTATGTATGTATGTATGTATGTATGTATGTATGTATGTATGTATGTATGTATGTATGTATGTATGTATGTATGTATGTATGTTTGTATGTATGTATGTATGTATGTATGTATTTATGTATATATATGTATATGTGCGTTCTTCTCTTTCCTTCTTTCTACGCGGGGGCCAGTTGTGCGAAGTGCGGCCAGGTGGAGGGGTGGGCCCGTGGGGTCCGAGGGCGGGGCGCGTGAGATGGCGGCCAGGGCGTTCCGAAATTTGCGGGGCAGTCCGGGCGCGGGGCACTGCCAGTGCAGGGGCGTTCAAGACGCCACTTGTTTTAAGTAAGGAGTAAAATTCACAAATGCCTGCGTATAATAAAAGGGGAGCTCTGTTGGTGAATGCGTGGTGGGGCGCAGGGCGTTGCTGCGCCGGCCCTGGCTTAGCGTGAACCGGTGTCAGGGGATGTGTGTTGCCCTCCCCCCAGCGTTTTTGGGGGCGTGTGAAGGTTTGTTGTTGGCGCTGTGTGTGTGTGTGTGTGTGTGTGCGTTTTTTGTTGGGTGCATTTGTCTACGTGTACCAGATTTACCACAGTGTGATCGGCTTATCGTTTGCGCTACCAGTCGCTTCCCTGCCTCCGTGCCCCGTCGTCCCACTGCGTTTCCCCATCCGCTTTTTTCCTCCTTTCCCCCCGGTCCTTTCCCTTAACATTTTTCCCCGCTCCCCTTCGCGAGTTTGCTTCTGCTGCAGCTTTTTCGCATGGTGTGGTCCCCGCTGCCAATGCCCTTTCCATTGCCGTCCTCCGCCTTCGTCTCCGTTCTTTTGCCCTTCCCACTTCCCCTTGTTCATCCCGCTTGCTTATCTCATTTCTTTTTTTCGTTCCCCCTCCCCCTCCCTCTTCCGTTCCCTTTCCGTGTGCGTCTCCTCCTCCTTTTCCCTCTCTTCCTCCCCCCCCCCCTCTCCCCTCCTCTCGTCATGTCCGCCCGTCCTCTTTTTCCCTTGTCCCCCCGCTCCCTTGTCCTCCTTTCTCAATCTCCCTCCCCTCTCTCCCCTCTCTGTTCTCTGTCCTCTCCCCCTCCTCTCCCCCTCCTCTCCTCATTTCTCTCGCCGTCCTCTTCCCCTCCTCTCCGCTTCTACCCTTTTCTCCTTCTCTTACCTTCTCCCGCTTTGCCGCATCCCCCAGTCTCCCCCTCCCCCTCCCCCTCCCCTTCGCCCCCGTCTTCCCCCCTCCTTTCTCCGTCCGCTTTGCCCTCCTCGTGTCGTCCCCGTCCCCCGCCCCCCCTCCGTACTTCCTCCCACACGCGTCTTTGTCCCCCACCTCCAAGCGATGCAATTGTGGTCGCCATTTTTTTGTTGCACGTCCTTCCCTTCTGTTTTGGTTTCCTCCCTCCGTCGGCCGCCTTCTCGTGCTCCTCCTTCCGTCGTCGTCGTCCTCCGCCATCCTGTGTTTGCCCTTCTCGCCGACTCCTTTGCCCCCCATCCGCCGAGAGGGGTATGTCCCGCAGGAGGAGGCGCTTGCAGTCCCAGACGGCGGTGTGAGCGCCGTGAAGCGGCCCGGCGCAGCTGTGCCGGCCAGACCCGCGTTGCACCCCGTGGCAAGGCAGGAGTGAGCCAGGAGAGGTTTCAGAGGACAGCAGCACGTAAGCAGAAGTTCGAAAGGTTGCGGACAGTTTCTCGGCTTGCGCCACACTGGACCCTTCCCCGCACCCGGCGCTGGGTCGGGGAGGTGCTCCAGCGCTGGCGGAGAAAGCGTCCACTGACGTCCGAAGCTTATGTGACAGGCGTCGCCCTTCTGAAGGCGGGAGGTGGAGATGGGTTGTCTACGATTCGGCCGTTGCGGTGATGTGTGCCGATGCCTGCGCGTGGCATCGGTCGAACCATTTGTGGACTCCAAAGGACAACTCCCCTGCTCCATGGGTGGGATTCGGTTCGATCGGTTCGATTATACAAGCTACTTGGTCTATCTCCGATTCAGGGCAGCCTTTGAACAGCCATCAGTGGAGTCCTCCTCCCCTCCACAATTAGAAAATATGAATACTACTCTCCTCTCTCCCCTGATGACGTCCGTGAAATATCTGGCCCCCTTCCGCGTATTGGTTTTTTAAACACAGGATTCCCAGGAAACGGGTTTTCGTTTTTTTTTGTTTGTCAAAATGCTGCTCTCGCTGAAGCGCTGGCCTCATTTTCGGGCTACCGCTCGTTCCGAATCGTGCTCCCGCTGCAGCGCTGGCCTCAATCCCGCGTTTCCGCTCGTCCCGAATCGTGCTCCCGCTGCAGCGCTGGCCTCATTTCCGCGCTTCCGCTCGTCCCGAACCGTGCTCCCGCTGCAGCGCTGGCGTCATTATTTCCAGTACCATGCCACGGCATGGTTTTCGGTCTTTCCACACCGGCCCCAAAATCTAGAAAAGGGCCTCCCGAACAACCATCGGAAGTGATTACGCATCCGGTGTGGATTCGTTGATTTTTTTGTGGCCGCAGAAGCCCCTCCCCCCACTTTGGGGCGTCGCCACGCCATGCTATGTCATGATGCGCGTTGATCTTCAGCACCATGCTATGCCATGTAATGCTATGCCTTGCTGCGACATTCGGTTGTGCGAACAGAGAGGGGATCTACGCCATGGTGAGGGATGGGAGGGAGGGATAGGACGTCAGATATGACGCGAGCGCACCTAGCTTTTCTCCTCCCCTCCTTTCTCTCCTCTCCCTCATCCCCCGCCTCTCCTCCCCTTCTCTTCCCCCTCCAGAATTATACAATACGAATGCTACTCTCCTCTCTCCCCTAACTCTTTCCAGAGAGTCTCCCGTCTTCGGGGTACTATATATATAGATATATTCAGATATATGTACAACGTAGTTTTTTTCCAGAAAAGAGTTTAGAATTTATGTAATTCTGTATAACTATTATTCAATCTTTACACAGGAATTCATGATTTGGTTCTTCCTATGTGCTTTTTCAACCTTGGCGTTCCCCTTTCTTTCAACATGGTGCTCCCGCTGCAGCGCTGCCCTCCTTTCCGAGCTTCGGTCATTCAAACTCGTGCTCCCGCTGCAGCGTTGGCATCGTTCCCGTGCCTCCGGTTGTTCCACATCATGTTCACGCAGCAGCACTGGCGTGTTCGCTCCTTTCAAGTAGCGCTGTCGCTGTAGCGCTGGCCTCGTTCCAGTGCTGCGGTCTTCCAAGTCGTGCTCCCGCTGCAGCGGTGGCCTCATTCCCGTTTTTGGTTCTGGCCTCGTCATCCGGTGCCATGCCACGGCATGCAATGCGATGCTGTGTTGTGCACCGCTGTGCGATTCCATGCTTTGCGTTGCTATGCTTTGTGATGCAATGATTCACTACGCAATGCCACGCCATGCTATGACATGCTATGCTCTGCCGTGCTCTTATACGCCATGCTTTTCCATCCATCGCGTACCCTCTACGGATTATTGCCCTGCCCGACATCCGACTGTGAGAATAGATCGGAGATCTACGCCATGGTCAGGAATGGGAGGGAGGGGTAGGACGTCAGATGTGATGCTAGCGCACATAGCTTGTCTCCCTCCCCTCCTCCCCCCCCTCCCCCTCCCCCTCCTCCCCCTCCTCCCCTCCTCCCCTCCTCCTCCCCTCCTCCCCCCCTCCTCTCTCCTCCTCCCCTCTCCTCTTCCTCAGAGGGCCGTGACATGTTACATCGGCTTCCCAGCTTTGCTCCTTCTGGGGGGTCCCTTGGCTATTTTCCGTAGGAGGAGTCGCTGCCACTCCGGACGGCGACGCGGATGCCGTAAGGCGGCCCAGCGGGGCTATGCGTGCTGGTGAGACGGAGACTGGCAAGGGGGAATGGGGGAAGGGGCAGCGGGGAGTGATCTTTGGACTATCTTGGGGTGGTCTTTGGGGTGTTCTCTTGGGGAAGGGGGCCTCTTGGGCGTGGCCTTGGAGTGGTCTTTGGACTGTCGTGGGGAATGGTCTTGGGTGGTCTTTGGAGTGTCTTGGGGTGTTCTCGGGCAGTCTGGCGCCTCGTCTTGGGGGCTTTTCTTTGGGCCGTGCTGGCGCCCTGCGGGGTCCTTGAAGGGCAGTCGTGGGGACCCCTTGGGCCGTTTTGAACCTTGGAATCTTGTCGGGCCACTTGCTGGCCGCTGGATGAACGTGGAGAGGAACTGGGCCAGCTGCATGCGTGCTCACAGTTTGGGGTGTTCCACGTGCAACCGTTGACTGCATTCGATAGCCTCTGGAGAGCCATGTTCCCGAGCTGCGTCTCGCCGTCGGTTTCTAGCAGAGGCCAGATTCTGTCCCCAGAGAATCATTCTCTGGGGTGTCGCCTGCTCCCGTCACAGGGCTGCTGTCACGGACCATTCCTTCGTGCCCGCTCGAGGATGGTGGCCTACCCGCCCCCGTTCCCCTCCCCCTCGGACGAGGGGGACGAGATGAAACACGGACGATGAGGTCAACGAGGGGATCAAGGAGGAGGAGGAGGCGACGGAGGAAGGGGATGATGAGGAGGAGGATGAGGAGGATGATGATGATGATGAGGAGGAGGCGGAGGAGGAGGAGGAGGAGGAGGAGGAGGAGGATGAAGAGCAAGAGGAACGAATAGAGGAGGAGGATGAGGATGATGAGGAGGAGGTGGAGGAGGTGGGGAGAAGAAGAGGTGATAGCGACAGCGAGATGTGAACAGAAAAAGGCGAATGTGAAGGAGTATGGGGAGGTGTACACGCGGGGGAAGAGGGACTGGATCAGGGACACGCGGCGATCTCAGTGCCCAGCCTGGTTGGAGACTGGAATAGAATCCATCCGCCGTTCCCGTACGGGACTGGATCGTGGGGACACGCGATGATACCAGAACGCAGCGCGAGGAGTAGTTTGAAATATAGCCTTCCCGCTGCGCCTGTGTCATCAGCTTGTATTTTCGACGGCGGCCTTCTCACCAGTCAGCAGAGAGGGTGTGAATTGCAGCGGCGGTTGACCGCAGATGGTCTTCCGCCATGCTTCCTGCCAGAAGAGTAGGGACGATGAAAGCACAGGGCATTCGAGGGAGGAGTTGTACTGAGCAGGGGAGCGCCAGGCAGCATGGAGGGAGAGTTGTCAAAGACGACAGTGATCGCGATCTTGAACACAGCGGGGGAAGGACCAGGCACACTTTGTGAAATGTCAGATTTTTGGTGGTATGTTCCTGGTGTGCATATACCCGAAATCTTTGTGAAAGGAGGGGGAGGGGTAGCAGGTGCGGGCACGCCTGGCCAAGCAATCTTCTTTTTGTTTTTTTTCTTCGCTGTGACCTGGCCATGGTCCGACACGGGCCCTCGCTTCCAGATCCCTACCGTATTGACATCGTCTTTTGTTTCAATAGCTCAGCGTCCACATCATTTTCCTTTAATCCGACTCCCAGACTGGTGTGCGTTCCATTTGCGACGTGTATCAACAATGGGAAATCCAATGTGTTTGTTTTGCAGAAGCGTACGAGGAGTGCACTCTCCGAAAGGGTTTAGTTTAGTCTCTCCCCTGAAGCCCCAGATGCTCTCCTCCAGCAAAGTGCGCCTTCATTGATGCGTTCGTGCGGTATGCGTTCGCGCGCTATCAGGCTACTTGAGTTTCCGTGCCGGTCGTTGTCCAATATTTGTTGAGCTAATCTCATTCCCGGCGGAGTTGGGTGAAATTTCGTGCCTTCCATATTGAACTGGACCGAACTCAACTGGTCAGACTGAACTTGAGGGGCACTTCTGACGACACATGTCAAACCGCCCGCGGAACTGCAACCACAGCCGGGCGACATATTTTCAACCTGGCCGCGGGGCGCAACCACAACCGCAACCGCTACCGAGCCCCGCCCGCGGGGCACACCCACAACCGCAACCAGGCGACACATTTCAACCCGCCCGCGGGCGCGCGCAACCGCAGCCGCAACCGCAACCGGGCGACGCGGTTCAACCCGAGTGTGGGCGCAACCGCAGCCGCAGCCGCAACCGCCACCGGAATCCCAAAGGGTGGTCGATTGCGCAGCAGCTAGCTACTCGCGGAAAGGGGGTCGGGGGAGGGGGGCGGGCGGGCAGAGGTCCAAGGGGGATTGACTGCGCGGGCTCTCGCGCGTGAGTCGCCCGTGGGAAGTGTGCGCGTCGCAGAAGCGCCCTGTTGTTCACTCTGCCGTGCGAGCGGCTTGAGTGAGTCACCGCGCAAGGTCGCCGTACCCTCGTGCAGGGCTGGACCTAAACGCTGTTTTGCTGGACTCCGGCTGCGTTTTGTTTTTCGTTTCGCGAGGGAGGTACAGGAAAACAGGTAGAGCAAAACGAACAACAAAACGAAAACAAAACGGAAAACACCGTTTATGTCCAGCCATGCCGCGCAAGGTCACCGTGTCTTCGTGTGCATGTTCTCTTTTCTTTGTCCGCTCACCTGCGGTCCTTCAGAAGGGGGTCAGTTGCGCGATAGCGCTCGCAGCCCGCGAGAAAGGTGGAGCGTCAGCGCCCCCTCCTGTTCACGCGGCCTGCCGGGCGAGCCTGGCTTGTGTGAGCCACCGCGTCAGACGGGCAGGATGGCCAGGAGGAGGAGGAGGAGGAGGAGGAGGACGCCCATGAGGAGGAGGAGGAGGGGGAGGAGGAGGAGAGAGGAGGAGGAGAGAGGAGGAGGTGGAGGAGGAGGAGGAGGAGGAGGAGGAGGAGGAGAGGAGAGGAGGAGGAGGAGGAAGGAGGGACCCGAGAATGATGTGATGAGGAGAGGATGAGGAGGACGCCGAGGAAGGTGAGGAGGAGGAGGAGGAGGAGGAGGAGGAGGAGGAGGAGGAGGAGGAGGAAGGAGGAGGATCCTGGGGATGGGGATGCGGGTGTGGACGTGCATTGGAAGGTGCAAGGGCATGCGCCAATTGCGGAACAACAAGCAATGGCGCGATGGGACGACTGAGGGCCCGGAGTAGGAGGAGGACGCCGAGGGGGAGGAGGAAGGCAAATTGGAACCCGGGGGTGGACGAGGTGGTGGCAGAACAGCATCAGCAAGATGGGATGGATGAGGACGATGATGATGATGATGATGATGATGATGATGATGATGATGATGATGATGGTGGTGGTGGTGGTGATGATGATGATGATGATGATGATGATGATGATGATGATGCTGATGATGATCATGATGATGAGGATGATGATGAAGATGATGATGATGCTGATGATGATGACTATGATGATGATGATGATGATGGTGGTGGTGGTGATGATGCTGCTGCTGATGATGATGATGATGATGATGATGATGATGATGCTGATGATGATGATGATGATGATGATGATGATGAGGAGGAGGAGGAGGAGAAGGAGGAGGAGGAGGAGGAAGAGGAGGTGGACGCGGAGGTGGAGGTCCTGCTCGCGGCGGTCGGGCGCTGCCCGCGGATCTCCGCCGGGACATTGCAGCGGGGAATTCCCATTCCACGCTGCTGCCTTTGATAGGTTTTTTGCAGAGGCGAACCAAACGTCTTGTCTGGGGGTCCTTGGGGGGCCGTCCTGGGCCGCCTTTGGGTCTTCCTTGGGCCGTCTGGAATCACCCTGACCGTCTGGCAAGTTCTCCGGGGGTAATCTTAAGACCATCTTGGGGCTATCTTGGGGCCCTCTTGGGTCTTGTTGGGCCCCTCTTGGGCTATCCTCGGCCATTAGAGGGAGCCGTTAGGGAGAACCTCGTGGGCCCTATTGGAACCAGTTTGGGCCGAGAAGCCTGGATCACTCAACACATTCCAACGCCTACGGACTTCTCTAGTTTGGTTGGTTTTCTCTTTCCTGGATGGCCTCCTGGCTATTCTATGCTGTCTTGGAAGCCTCTTGGCGCTCCTTCGACGCCTCTTGAGTTCTTGTATGGTTGTGTTGAGTGCATCTCGAAGTAATATTGGGCCATCTTGTCGGCCTTCGTGGCCTTCAGGGGCTGTTTTCGAGGCGCTAAACAGCCTCGGATAAGTGGCCAGTGTGCCTCGGGAGAGGGTGCCGACTGCACGCACACGAGCATGTCAAGACTGGGGTGGGGGGCCTTGGAAGGCTTACGGAAACCCTACCAGGAAACACTTGGCATTCTGCAACGCTGTAGCGTGCCATGGGGCGCGGTGGCGGAGATCCAGCCCTAACTGTCTCCAGCCGTGGCATCAGCTAGGGGGCCACAATGCGAACCCGACCCCATACACCACACGATTTCTGAGGGGGAGTGTGGGGTTCACTTCACTCGGGAGCTCCAAGACGAAGTGAACCCCACCCTCCACCTCAGAAATCGTGGGAGGTAGGGGTGGGGTTCGCGTGTGGCCCCATATCAGCCTTAGCCGTGGCCTGAGCATTAGCCATGTATCGCCTCAGCCTTGTCTGCCACGTTCCACACTTGCTTTATCGTTTGGGAACCTGGGTGTGATACCGTGCTTGCAGTCAATGGCGCCGTCTCTGACTACCGCCTAACTCCCCGGTTGCCCCTTTTGCCACTGCTGGCAGTTGCTCAGCCCCCCTACAGTAAACCTGGTCGGCACTAGCATTCGCTGCCACTGATAGCCTTCGCATGCCCTCGCCCTTGTTGGCGCCAGTGCCGGTTGCCATCCCCACTGCCACCAGTAGCGCACATTACCCCCTGGCTGGCATCACTTGACTTGGATGGCGCCACCGCCACTTGCCCAATTAGCCCCTTCTACCCCTATTAACCCGTGCCCAGCCCCACCGCCATTAGCAAGTAATAGCCCCTGCGTTGCGCCAGCGCTAGTTGTCGCCACTAGCCTGCACTAGCCTTTGTCTAGCCCCTGTAGTCTTGCTTGGCGCCGACGCTGCCGCCGCTGGCCCCTGCCAGCCTGTGTCTATCGTGTCTATTCCTATCCGCCTTGGGTCGCACCAGCGCCGATTGTCGCCAGCAGCTCATGCTAAACCTTTCCTGGACCTACTCATTCTGGGTTGTTGCCACCGATAACCCCCACAGCCCTCGCCAACCTACGCCTGGCGTCATTTAGGCCCGGGTGGCGTCACGGCTGGTTGCCACCACCAGCCCCTACCAACCGCTGCCTAGCCCTACTAGACCTGGGAGTCGCCAGCGCGAGTTGTCGTCAATAGCCCCTACGAGCTAGCGCTGCAAAAAGGGCCGCCGTCCTGTCACTGGTTACCACAGCCTGCGACCAGCTCTCCCTGGCTCTCTTCGTTTGGAGTGGCGCCAGCTCTGGTCACCTCTTCCCTGGATGCTCGTGCCTAGCCGCACTAGCCCCGGGTGGCACCAATGTCAGTCGCCGCTACAGGCCCGTATTAGCTCCCGTCTGGCGCCATTAGCCGTCCGTTGGCGCTTTGTTCACTAGTAGCCGTTGCCTGGACACACTGGCATTGGGTGGCGCCAGTGCCAGTTGCGGCCGCCTCTGGCCCCTACGATCCCCTGCTTGAGAAGCTCCACTAGCTCTGGGCAGGGTCAACGCTGGTTGCTACTGCTAGTCCCTGGCGAATCCCATTTGCCCTGGGTGGCGCCGACGCTGGTTGCCACCACTTCGGGCTGCTGCTAATCTTAGTTCAGCCCCATTCGCCAGGAGTAGTGCCAGCTCTGGTTGTCACCACTGTTCTTTACTGGCCCCTGCCTAGCGCCGTCGAGCACTGCATGGTGGGACACGCTGCCATTATTATCTCGTCAGAATTTCTCTGCAATGTGCTACGTTCTAGAATTCTTGACCTTCGCGTATTCCCACCAGCCCATCCACAAACGATGCCCAGGCGAGTTGCCTTAATCAGGGAAACGGAGGAGCATGCAGTGGATCAAGAGCTGGGGAAGCCGTCAAGCTGAAGTCTTGGATTAGCCTGCGCAGACCCAGGAGCGAACCGTATGCGCCTTCGCGGACCTGCTGAATGAGGAACGTCGGGGAAGAAGAACGAGGGGGATGAGGGACAGGAGGGCGAAGAGGAGGAGGACAAAGTGGAGGAGGAGGAGGAGCAGGAGGAGGAGGATGAGGACAGGTGTAAAACCAAGAGTCATTAACGATGTTGGAATAAACCCTCCCTCCAAGGTCCCTCTTCATAGGCCCCTACACTGGTTCATTTCCACAGAGGTAACGCCTCGTTGGAAGGCAACTGTTTGAAGACCCTAAAGCATGCCAAAACATTGTTCTTGGGATTCCATGGCCACGGATCAACCTGATCGTTGCATATTGACGATGCGGAACCGTGCCAGCACGCCATTCTTGGGACTTCAACGCCGCGAATCAACGTAACTGTTGCACCCTCATAGTCCTGAGAACTTCCAAAACACTATTTCTGGTACGTTGATAATGGGATTCCGTGAAACCCGTGCGCGGCGCTAAGGCGAGAGCCACATTGTGAAAAGGAGCCGCCCTCAATCCGTGAAGCTCTTGTAATTGGTAATAACTTATGCGCGCGGCGCTAAGGCGAGAGCCACGTTTTGAAAACGAGCCGCCTTCAATCCGAACATTAATTTGCGCGGCGCTCAGGCGAGAGCCACATTTTGAAACGGGTTGCCCTCAATCCGTTAAATTCTTGCAGCTTGTCAAAACGAAAGTGCGCGGCGCTAAGGCGAGAGCCACATTTTGAAAACGAGCCGCCTTCAATGCGTGAAGCCCTTGGAATGCAGACAAAAATAATGTGCGCGGCGCTTAGGCGAGAGCCACATGTTGAAACGGGCTGCCCTCACTCCGTTAAGCTCTTGCAGATGTTGAACAAAGACTTTGCGCGGCGCTCAGGCGAGAGCCACATTTTGAAACGGGTCGCCCTCAATCCGTTAAACCCTTGCAATTTTTAATGCGAATGTGCGCGGTGTTAAGGCGAGAGCCACATTTTGAGAACGACCCGCCCTCCATGTGTGGAACCGTTGATAATTTTTAAGCGTCAGGGCCGCCAATTATGAGTAAATCTCCGGCGAAACGCCTGGCCCGCCCTAAACACTAGCCTCGGGGTGCGACAGGGGGAAGTGATTTAGAAGGAAGAGGAACGGAGGAGCAGGAGGAGGAAGAGGAGGAGGAGGAGGAGGATGACGACGAGGAGGAGGAGGATGAGAAGGAGGAGGAGGAAGTGGAGGAGGGGGAGGAGGGAGGAGGGAGGGGGAGAAATAGAAGGATGAAGAGGAGGAGGAGGAAGAGGAGGAGGAGGGCAATGGCGAGCTTGGGGGCTTCTTGGGGCGTCTTGGGGGTCTCTTGGCGGTCCCGTGGGCCTCTTGCGTATCTCGGGAGCCTCTTGGGGCCTCTTGTGGGTCTCTGAGGAGCCTCTTGGGGGCCTCTTGGGCGCCTCTTGGGGCCTCCTTGGCGCCTCTTCGGGCCCTCTTGGGGCGCTCTTGGGAGGCTTGGGGACGCTTTTGGAGCCATCTTGGAGGACATCGATTGAACAAGGAATGAGCTTAAATTAGCCTTGCCCTTTGAGAGTGTCTACAATCGTCTCTTGGACCCCTCTTGGAGCGCTCTTGGGGCGCTCTTGGGCGCTCTTGGGGCCGTCTTGGGCCTCTTTCAGGCCTCTCTTGGGGCTCTCTGAAGCTCCCTTGGAGCTGTCTTCAGTCCTCGGAAGGCCATCGAAAGCAAAAAGGCGAGAAGTCAGACTTCATTGATTTACCTGAGGTTATCTGACGGGTTTTGGCCTCTTGGTGGCCTCTGTGAGACGCTCCGTGCCATTTGGAACCGTCTTTGAACGGTCTTTTGACCTCTCGGAGCATCTTAGGAGCCATCTTGAGGCATCTTGAGCTATCTTGTGCCATCTTGGAGGTCATCTTGGGCTCTCTGAGGCCCTCTTGGAGTCGTCTTGGGCCGTCTTAAATGCTCTGACCGCTCGCGGGGCGGGGGATGGGTTAACCCCTCCCCGACGGGGAAGGAGGGGGTTGGAAAAGGAGCCTCCCCCGACCACCTACGCCCAGAGGGCTGGTGGGATTTGCAGTTGTGTGCTTCTGCTTAGGTGATGTGGTGGCCTGCTGCTATGCATTACCAAACCATGGTTCTGTGTGATAGTGCGTGTGGTGTCCCAAGGTCCGATATGATTGCGTTTTGCTGTGCGGTGTCGTGCCATGGTGCCGTTTGCCGTGTGGGGCCGTTCTTTGGTGCCGCGTGTGATTCTTCCAAGGCATTTGGTACGATGCTCTTGGAATTAGCTGATTCGGATTATCATGCATGGTGTAATCCGAGATCGAAGTCGGATGCCCGTGTCTCCTTCGCCGTGATACCGCACTCATGTGCAAAATCAAGGTCGGCTGTCCATGCCCAAAGCCCTTTGTCTTGCGCGGTTGCGGTCGCAGCAGATTGTCTGTGCCAGGTGCCCCGTCCCCCATGCCTTCTGCTGTCGTCGACAAGTAGAACACCAGTGCTGCGTGCGGTCGTCTTCGAAGTCGAGAAAGGGTGCCCGCTCCCCATGCCTCGCGCACACAGCCAGGCGCAGGATCGTTATATCATGGCTTGGAACAAGTCGTCCGAGGGTGGAGAGGTGCCGAACAGCTGCCAGCCGGCATATGGTTAGACTCCGGC